AAATATCTATTACACTGGGCGCCTCCTTCGGGATGTGGCCGCTATCCCTGGAAGTCTTAATACCGGCCTCCTCATCGATATCCCTGGTCTTAGGGAGATCGACCTCATGGATCTCCTCTTCAACAGCTGCCCGCTCCTCGAGGGATGTCAGCCCGTGGGCCAAAAAAAGATCGTCTTTCTCGGGCTCATCTCTAAGCCGAAAAAGTGAGTCTGACCCGGGTGCTCAAGAGCTGGAGCTCTCCTTTGGCTCACATGCCAACCTTCTCTTTGGCTTCTTCTTCTCTAAGCTCGGGGAGCTCGGAGCCTTCCTTTTCTTCCTCTCTCCTGCTGCAGCCCCGAGCTGCCCCAAAGCGGAGGGATCAACAGACACATCGTCGTCCCCTATTGAAGGCCTACGCTCAATGGTCTTAGGCAAACCTACAAAAGGAAAAGTGAAGAAAAGAAGGTAAGTACGATACGAATGGGAGTACCAGATATTACCTATTCGAGGAAGGGTCTTACTGTGTGAACGGGCTTCCTAGCGGCCCCTCGAGAGTTTGCACCATGAGCGCTCGGAATAATGCATCTATGAACAAATGCCCTCGATCCACTCTTTGAGCTGACGGATAACATTAGGGACTCGAGCAATGGTTGCACCACCACAAGTACTAGTGAGAAACGAGGAGATGAAGGTAAATTAGCATTCAAAGGGTAACTGTACTTACGAGATGCATCCCACTTCTCAGGGAACAACATGAGTTCGGGGGGGGGGGGGACCAAGTCTTCGGTCTTCACCCGAACAAAATGTCCTTGCCAGCCTCGGTCCCGGTCCTCATTGATGCTCGACAATGAGGTTTTGCTAGCCCGGCGCGTGAGCTTTATTAGCCCCCCTCGGAAGATTCGGGGACTATAAAGGCAAAGTAGGTGATCGATGGTGAACTGACGAGATTTTGTATTGTTCACGAAATAACGAAGGAGGATCACGATCCTCCACAATGACAGGTGGATTTGAGTGAGGCATACTTCGTACCTCTTGCAGAAATCCAAGATAACTAGGTCCACCGGGCCTAATGTAAAGGGATAAGTGCAAACACTTAGATAACCCTCCACGTGGGTAGTGATGGCGTCTGCAGGCCCGGGGACAACTACGCCCTTACCCGCCCGGTTACATTCCTCTCGGACCATAGGAAGGACGTCTTCAGTAATAGAACATATATACCTTGATACTCCCTCACACCGGCCTTGCACCGATGAGGGATTTTCAACCTTAAAGTCATCCGCAACCGAGCATCCCCCGAGAATGAACATTTTTAAGGGAGGCTCGGCAGCTGGTTCATTGGTAGTCATGCCAGGAGCAAATCTCTCGAGGACGACAATATCGGGAGTGGTCTCCTCGATTTCAGCAGTCGATATTGAAGAAGAAGAAGCGACTTTTTGGGGAACAAATTTGGAAGTTTTAGCCGTTGTTGTCTGGAAAAAGCTTGAAAAATATGAAGAAAGGTTGAAAGACAAAAGGTCAAGTGCGTTGATTTGGGTAGAAAATAAGTAAAAACTTGCAACTTACTGAGAAGTCTTGAAGAACGGAGGTGGAAATATTAGAGTGTGAAGAAGGGTAGTGATATCCAGAAAACTCGAAGGTAGAAGCATGGTCAAAAGGTAAAAAATGAACGAAGGAGGAAAGTATTTATAAAGGTTTCGTGCGTTTCATATTCACGGATGACCTGCCGATGGCTGATGCGTGTTTGAAGTCATAATGACACGATTGATAGGACGTTTCGGATTCTTTGTCATTTTTGTCACGGCATACTGAAGAAGGAATCGAAATGCATATGTCGTTTCTCGTCGTTTCAGTAAACTTACCCTCCAAGAAACAAGGGGACTATCTGTATACGGGTGAAACCGAGCCCGTTGGACGCCTCGATTCTCGATGAAGTAAACGGAGCAGAAGTGTGACCGTAAGGAATTGAAATCGGAGCAAGGAGCTCCTCGAGTCGGGGTCCGGGCAAAACACCTGCCCTCGAAAGAATCGGGGCCACGCTCCCAGGTCCGATTCAAATCCCAAAACCTCGGAGAGCATTACCAGATAATCAAGCACGACAAACAAAGGGCTGTGATATCCGTGCCCAGTTGGATATCACGGCATGAATCTCGGCACATATCGGCAAAAAATCAATGATTAGTAGCACGAAAGATTTTTACTTTTTATGGAATTGTACTTAGGGTAAAACTCCCTACTATATAAATGGGAGTCTAACTATTCATTGGGCATCGTTGTAACACGCATATCAAGGAAATGTGCTATTATTTTCTCTGTTATTCAAAGTTCTTACTTTGTTCATCAGTTCTTCATTATCGTGAACCCGGGATCGAAGGCAAACGTTTCATTAAAGTTGTTACTGAGTCCGGGATCACTCCCCTTAATTGGTTTGGCGTTTTATTACGTCCTTTATTTGTTTAATCTAATGCGGTTCATCATCTGTATTGAATTAATCTGCATATCCTTAAAACCACACGTAAATTAAATTGTTATCCGTTTTTAGGGTAAACACCCTGTCGCGTAAAAATTCGGGGCCCGCCTCTAACTGTTACCCCTGATAATGCAGTTTTTCTCTTAGATTATACTCCTACGATTTTCTAGTGTATTATTATTATTATTATTATTATTATTATTATTATTATTATTATTATTATTATTATTATTACAGAAAAGGGTTCAAAATGCCCCTAAACTATTGGAAAAGGTTTAAACTTATCCTTCATCCACCTATTGGCTAAAAATACCCCTCCATCCACCTTTTTGGTTCACTTATGCCCTTTGACCGTTAGGTCAATGCTGAATTAAAAATAATTATTATTCTTTTTGTAAAACTTAAAAAAAATATTTTACAAAATATTTTCGTTTTTTAAACTAATGCACCAGTAGTCCACTAATTTAGTAAAGTCTTCTTCTTCTTCTTTTTTTTTTCCAGTTTTTACAAAAAAAAAATAAATCATTTTTTCAGTTTTTTAAAGCATTTTGTTTGTAAAAACTGGAAAAAAAATGTTTTTAATAAAATATTATCGTTTTTTAAAAACTGGAAAAAAAATTCAACAAAATATTTTCGTTTTTGAAAAATATTTTTTTCCAGTTTTTTTAAAACAACAAAAAAAATTTCTTTAAAAAAAATGAAAAACGGAAAATAAAAACCGAACATGTTTAAAAAAACTGAAAAGATGAAAAAAAATATTTTTCAAAAATGAAAGTATCCCGTTTGAAAATATTTTTTTAAATTTTAAAAACGAAAATATTTTATTAAAAACATTTTGTTTGTTTTACAATTGTTTTTGAGTTTTTACAAAAAAATGCTTTTAAAAAACTGAAAAAATAAATATATTTTTTTGATAAAAACTGAATTGTTTTTTGTAAAAAATGAAAAAAATAAATAAGAAGACTTTACTAATTAGTGGACTATTGTGCATTAGTTTAAAAAAATAAAATATTTTGCAATTTTTTTTAGGTTTTATCAAAAAAATAATAATTATTTTTAATAGCATACTAACGGTCAAAGGCATAATGTAACCAAGTGGATGAAGGGGTATTCTTGTTGCCCAAATAGGTGGATGAAGGGTATTTTTAACCTTTTTTCCAATAGTTTAGGGCATTTTGAACCCTTTTCTCGTTGTATTTATTATTATTATTATTATTATTATTATATTATTTATTATTATTACTATTACTAACAAAAAAAATATTTTGTATTGAAGCATCCTAAGTCTCGACTAGTTATATTTTACAGACAGAATGTAAATGATATGGTAGTGTTTTTAAATATTTTTTCCAGGCTACTGTGCATGGATAATTTTAGAATAAACGATTCTGTTTAATAATGTGCATGAGAGGTGAAAGAGCATCGTCATATTTTTTTTCCACGTCATAATTTTTTTCAACCATTTTAAAACCTGTTGCTATACTTTTTCTAGGTAAAAAGAAAATTAAGACTAATCGCTTTCTGCCTCAATTCCGTATTGAGTTACCTTCTCGTTTACTAATTCAGCCGCCCCGGAACCCATCGCCACCCAACTGAAAGACATCAAACTCTTGATTGGATGATAATTAAATTGTAATCGTGGACCAACCACAGCGCGACCATGCCAAACAAAAAATAAAAATAAAAAATTAACGAACTACTAAACATACGTTAATCAAATTCCAACATTTTCACTCCCCAAAAATAGTTCTAATATGTGCTAAAAGTATTTTTTTTCTTGAATTTTATAAAGTATTATTATATAAGAAATAATAGTAATCGTGGACCAACCGCAACCACAGCAACGTATACCATTGAAAATTGAGATATCTTCACCTTTAACTAGGTGTATCAGATTTGAGTTCTAAAAATATTTTTTTTTTATATACTCCGTTTGTCCCGATTAATGTGACAGTCTACTAAATACTTATAGTCCGTTTGGTCAAGCTAGAAAATCAGTTATTTTGAAAAGTATTTTTTTTTCAAAAGTATTTTGGTGAGAAGCAGTTTTTGTTTGACTAATTAATTTAAAAGCACTTCTAAAGCAACAATTAGTGTTTGATCAAACTTTTAAAAAGTGCTTCTAAGTGTATTTTTCTATTTTTCTCAAAAGTGCTTCTTTAAAAAGTGATTCAGCAAAAAAGCTATTTTTTCCTGCTTTTCCTCAAAAACACTTTTTTTTCCTCCTAAAAGCTTGGCCAAACACTTCAAATTTGAAAAAAAACACTTTTTGCCAAACAGGCTATTAGTCTAAGTTCATTTTGACTTTGAACTTATTCATAAATTCTTTAAATTTTTTAAAATAAAATTTCTATATTTAGAAAAAATTATGATAAAAAATAACTTTATTTGACTCTCAAAATTCAAATATTACCGTACGAATCGAAACTAATTAAATGCTAATACAAATACCAAACGAAAAACCTAACAAAAAACGACATACCAAACAAAATAACCGAAGCGCCAAACATCAGTTAATCAAATTCCAATATTTTTATTCCCAAAAAGGAAAATAAAGGATAGGGATATTTTCTCTTTGGCTCTCCCTCCTCCACTCTCTAATAGCTGTCCCTCATCCTCCACAATCTGAATTGAGCTCTATTTTCTCCTTCACCTCGGGAGCATTTTCCATGGCGAAAACCCTAATTTCATCTCCGTCGTTCATCGGAACTCCTTTGCCGTCGTTCTCTCGCCATGTCTTCCACCGGCGAAGGCTTATTTCAACTAGAGTAAAATTCAGCTTCCATGAGCTTCCTCCGATTCAATCTCTTCACTCTTCGGTTGATTTCAACGCTGTTATTAGCCGAGCCGAAGGACTTCTCTATACGTTAGCTGATGCCGCTGTGGCTGCTGATCCTGGTGTTGCCTCCGATGCCACTGCTGCTACTCCTCAGAAAGCCGGTGGTTGGTTCGCTTTCATTTCTGACGCTATGGAAGTCGTTTTGAAGGTTAAATTCCGTTTTCAGCTTTACTTAACATAGTTTCGAGCTAATTCTGATCATTGTTACGATTTTTATTTTGATTTTCCTTTTCTGGACTCTATAATGCGTTCAGCATATTCATAATAACGATTTCACTTGCTGCCTTATGTATCTATTTCATGTTTATATAGTTTTCATAGTTTAGGTCTTACTAGTGTTAGATTGGCATCATTTTTCCTAGTTTTACCTTAATTATAATTATCAATTACTTTATCCGCATAATTGTTGTTTGTGTTTATCGTTATTAATCCTTTTTTTTCTTTTCTTTTATGACGGTGGTGTTCGGGCCAACTTGCACTCGAGTATTCCACTGTGTCCTTTGCAGTTAAAGTCTTCTTTTAACTTATTTTGCTTTTAGCCTTTGATAACACTGGAAGGGAACTAAACTTAATTTTGGATTTTTTTTTCTACCAATTGAAAGACTCTATTAGCTCTTGTCATTTTTCCTGTTGACACAAGTCGATAACCAGATTTTCCCCTAACCAACCAGATTTTAGCTTCTGCCCCTTCCTCCCAAAAAAGATAGGAAATTAGAGGAAGCTAAAGAAATGTTATATAGGACAACAGGTTGGTTGTCTTCACCTATGTTGCGCGGACTCTCCAAAATGCTGCTACACCCGTGTCGGATCCTCCAAAAATGCACTACGTTTGGAGGATTTGCCACCCAAATACTGCAGCTTATTTTGTTTCAGTTTTAGATAGACTGTTTTTAGGTTTTTGTTTTAGAGAGATCGTCTTCTTGCGAACTGGTATTTTGATGTCGTCACGTACTCTATATTCACATCATTCACTTTGCTTTTTTCAGGTAATGAAGGATGGACTGGCAGCTGTGCATGTGCCTTATTCTTATGGATTTGCAATCATATTGCTTACTGTCCTGGTTAAAGCTGTCACTTTCCCTTTGACAAAGCAACAGGTAAGCCTGTGCTGACTTGCTGCTTGACCTTGATATTTAAGAGTTGGTCTGGTATTTCAGGGCTTGCCACTTAGTTACGTCTGTCTAGTATTATAAATAGTGCAATGGTGATGGGAAATTGAGAATTGAATCTTTTGTCGAACTCAACAAGAGTCCCTGCTCCTTTGTTCCTCATTCTTTAAATCTGCATTGCAATGGAATTGTTGCTGATGTATGATATTATGTCTTTTGAAAGGTTGAATCAACACTAGCAATGCAAAATCTCCAACCAAAGATCAAAGCTATTCAGCAACGATATGCTGGAAATCAGGTGAGTTCAAATTCTTGTCAATTGATACTTTCTGTTTCATCTAAACTGCTCTTCAGAACCGTTTGACCTTCTAAAACTTGAGCTATGTATTAAAGATTCTTTGGTACTTAGTACTGTGAAAAAGAGTGAAGTATGAGCAATTGACACTGTAACAATTACAGCTTGTTTGTTAGATTTTTTGGATTGTTACAACTTGTTTGCTAGATTTCATCTTAATTTGGTAAGATCAAAGCTTTTGTTTATTTTTTTAGAGTTTTATATTTTATTTTTTATTTTGTATGGTTATAGTATTGCTTTACTTATCAAAAGAAAGAAAAGCATTGCTTGTGGTGATAAAAAATTCGTTCAATAAAAGGAGGAGTATTTCTGTTGTCGTGAAGCTATTGCTGTAGAATTATGATTAATGTTGTGCCTTTTCATATCAAGTCCAGCAAACAGAACTTACATCTATAATTTTTTTTTTAATTCAGGAAAGAATCCAACTTGAGACTTCGCGTTTATATAAGCAGGCAGGGGTCAATCCTCTTGCTGGTAATTCTTCATTCTAGCAGTCAGCTCTCTCTCTCTCTTTTAGTTATGCTTCCATTTACCATTTCTGTTTATCTTCTTAGTTGGTTTAAAGCATTGGGCATATATGTTGAAAGGAACTCACCATGACTTTTCTCTCCTGGCTAGTAGTGAATCGCAAATCATATCTCAGTGAATTAATAGCGATTTAATCAGTTAAAGAATTACATATTTTCTCATTCATATTCTGTTCCTCGATGGTCTAGGTTTTCGTTTTTTGTTCTAGTACATCTTAGAACTGGATTGCGCAGTGACATTTTTCCATCCAAAATTTGTTTGAACTGGATTTCAGTTCTATTCCTTTTCAATCTTTGATATCTATGGCATCTGAAGTTGTCATTAAGTTAGTTCCTCATCCGTAGTGCTCACTTGATTTTTTTTTTTCCAACACACTCACGTGATCGGCTTCCTTTTTTTTGGATATGTATGAAATTTTATTCCATTGAAGGTGCATACAAAAACTCAGTTGTCACATATAAATGTAGGGACCTGAGGAACGTCTACATTTAGCATGTTACCCCAAAAATCCAGAAGTACAAACATTAGTATTTGTGACTATTTACAGACACAACATTGTCCTAAATACATCTTTGATTCTCTCTAGCCAAAGTACCCAAAAATACTTGCTGGAAGGGTGAATCAACATCTTCCTGTCCTCCAGTTTTTCTCCCTGGCCAATGCAGCACTCACTCTATCGACTAATAATGCTTCTTTCAGTGAAGGAAGAACTTTGAGATAGTGAATTGAGTCGAGCTAAGTGTAACGTTTGACTTAGTTTATGCAATGGTTAGGGAAGCATAGATGATCACGAACGCCCAAACTAGTTCCACAATGCCAGAGAACACTTCTCTATGACCTTAAATTTGCTTTTTAATATTTTGGTTAGTATTTACTTCCAATAATGTGTTTCATATCATGTTTAACTTCAAATGACAAATATTAGCTTTAAGGCATAGTCAACCTCCTCTTTCCTGTGTATCCTAGCGATATTCCTTTGAGGCCATGAGTTGTAAAAGAAGAAAGGGCTCCTAACTACTTAACAACCTGGGTAAGTTTTCAGGTGCATTGTCCTATGAGCTGTCTGGCCAATAGCTGTACTGAAGTGGTTATGAATAGCATCAAAGGTTTCAACTTTGTGCCCGAGAGTTTAAAACTGATGTGGATACCTGTTAAAAAGGTCTTATGTGAATACCAAAATTCTAAAATACACGATGAGTTGAGAGATTTACTCAATTACTATGTTTTTTAGTTGCGACAGAGTCACTAGAGTTAGATATGCTGTCAAATGTGCATTGACTTGAAGGTTAACTGCATCATCAAAAGACTGATTGTAGCATAAATAAACCTCCATAAGTTTAATGAATTCATAAGTTTAACCCACTACAACATAAAAACTACAATTAGTTTGACATACGCAAATTGTAGCACATCAACTAACTGCAGATGTCAATGCCAGTTAATAAGTGACCATGCCACAAAGTAATAATGAGCGCTTTGAGCTTCTATATGGTTTGGATGTATAATTCGTTCCATGTTAAGTTTAGACTCCAGGTAAAGAATATTGGAAGTTCTTGTACTCCCATTGTGGTTATCTATTTATTTATTTTGTGGCTACACGATAACAGGATGTTTCCCAACTTTGGCTACTATACCAGTTTGGATTGGTCTCTATCAAGCTCTCTCTAATGTGGCAAATGAGGTATAAAAGAAGTTAATATTATCGTATGTTCTTACTCATTGATTTAAATAATGAGTTTATTTACTTTTTTTGCTTTCTGAAAAGGGATTGCTGACTGAAGGTTTCTTTTGGATTCCTTCTTTGGGAGGACCGACTACTATAGCTGCTCGACAAAGTGGATCTGGAGTTTCTTGGCTATTCCCGTTTGTGGTCAGTAGCATAACCCGATACACATTCTGTGTGTTAAAATTAATTCTGAGTAATCTTCCTAATCACAAAAAAGTTGGAGCATTTGCCCCCCTTATCATCTCACCCAATTGATTTTCTTTTGAGCGCTTGTGCTCAAAAGATAAATCTGCTTGTAATATTAAGTACATTTTAGTATAACTGCGGACATAAAAATCTGTTGACTTTTTCCTTCTCAAAAAAAAAATTCTGTTGACTTTTTCAGGATGGGCATCCGCCTTTGGGTTGGCATGACACAGTGGCTTACCTTGTTTTGCCTGTCCTGCTAATTGTTTCGCAATATGTTTCAATGGAGATAATGAAACCTCCCCAAGTACGAACTTGAGTTTATGTTTCAGCTAAGTTCCTTCTGTTCTTAGTATTTGAGTGCGTCTGTCATGTTATTCTGAAATCCTTGAAATCTCTTCGTAGACAGATGATCCAACTCAAAAGAACACGCTTCTGGTTTTCAAGTTCCTTCCGCTCATGATTGGCTATTTCTCTTTGTCTGTTCCTTCAGGGTTAACAATTTACTGGTGAGCTCTTAGTTAAAGTAATTACGTATTATTACCTCTGATATAGAATTATGGTTTTGGTCTTAGACAAATATAGGATCAAATAAACATCCCGGTGTGAATTATCATTTTTATAAATGACAACTATGTAAATCTGCACATCTTGATTAAAAAACGACGTTCGTCTGCACATAAATAAAGTGAAACTTGCCATTCACTTGTTACCAGTGATTATATCACTGTGAATGAGGGGAGAGGATAAAGAAATTTAGTTGCGCCTTTATGCACCAATATGTATCCTCTTACTGCCTGGGCTCTTTCAAACTTACCGGTTAAAAGACATGTCAAAACAATTTCTCAATATCTCTTCTGTTTGCTTTTCTTTTAAATTCTCTTGTCACTGGGGCAACAACTGACAAATTATCATGCTTCCCTTTCTTATTTTTCTTATCTCAACAATAGATTTGTGTTTTGGATATTTTCATCAATTAAACAAGATAGTTCTTAACTTGCACCTTTTATGTTGAATTTCAAGGTTCACAAATAATGTGCTGACCACGGCACAGCAAGTATGGTTGCGCAAGTTAGGTGGTGCAACGCCTGTTGTGAGTGGAGATGCCAGTGGTATCATCAGCGCTGGACGTGCAAAAAGAACTACCTCTCAGTCTGAGCAAGCTGGAGAGAGGTGTGTGTAATATTTAAAAGTTACTCTACTTGTACAATGCCTGTCTAGCTAACGAGAAAGTTTATGGAGACAGATTCAGGCAGCTAAAAGAAGGTGAAAAGAAGAAAAAGTCAACCAAGGCACTCCCTACAGATAAGGTTGGAATATCAGCCTCTACATCTGATTCCGAGGACGAAGCAGATGATGAGATCAAGCCCAAGGTAAACATCAAAGTATTTTTTGTGCATTTGATCTCGAATGTCAAGTTCATTTGACATATGTTTGTATAATTAAAAAAAAATTAGTTGTTAGTTAGGTGATGAGTAAGAAGTGGCATCCAAGGACAATAAAAGACATGGAAGGCCTCAGGCCTAATAAGGCACGATGATTTATTGCATTATAAACGTTTTTTATCTGGAAGTACAATCCTTCCTTTTCATTTATGATGCAAGCCCGTTTTCCATGTAATAAAGATGTGAATTTGTAGTCCTTTACCTGCACTTGGTCATGGTTGGTAATCATGGAATCTCGATACACAGCTACGCTACTCATACACCCCATTATGCCAGCCAAACCAAAGAACAATTGTGTGAGAGAGAGATGAAATACTACCCGATAAAGAAGAACAAAAGAAAGAGGGAGATTCACATTGTGAGAGTTGGAAAGGATGATGGTTTGTTTTTCTTGTCACCTCTCCAGTTGATCTTCTTTTATTGTTTTAGGGAGCTGGACTACATTGTTTGAGCTCGGAAATGACGTATATTGGCAAAAAATGTTACTACAAACCCTTACGCAAACACTTTTAGACAAAAATTGCATTGAGATGATTACATAGAATTGTTTTTACGGTTAAGGGTTTCGTCGGGGTGCGCAAGCTGTCCAGACACCGCGGTTATTAGAAAAACATAGTTGTGTTTTTGTATCTTTTTGCTGTCTGATAATAAATTTTCTCCATTCGATTGGAGTTTGTTTTTATTTAGGGGTGTCTTGACTCCCCTAGTTATTCTTATTCTTATTCTTATTTTATTTTATTTTATTTTGATAATCGTAGTGTCCTGTCGAGCTTGCGCACCTCGACTCCTCTAGTCATTAAAACCAGTGATTCTGCTTTTCAGTAAATTGAAGTGCATGAAGAAACGTCTGCTCTAGATTTTTGGTCTAATATGTATTCCATTATACATGCCAATTTTCAGTGTTTCCCTATAGATTTCTGTCTATTTTTTGTAATATGTTTGCTCGAGAGGAAGAGGTTGACGAAAGAACAATCTGAAAACTCTATGCCTCTGGTCTTCTAAATAATTTCTTTTCTATGTATCTCACGCAAGGAGAGTAATCAAAAATGCAATTTTTTATCAATAATCTTGCGCAAAAACTCATACTGATTGGTTATGCGATCAAGCTGTAAGGTTTATGGACTTCACTCAGAGACTAAAGATATATGCATACGCAATTCTAGGCTCATGGATACCTAAGTTGCTCTGAAACAATTCAATATCTTTATTTTTTCAGTTCAAAGAAGAGGGAAAAGAATAACTTCTTTGTACCCCGAAAATGAATTGTTCTATTTGATGCTGCCTGGCAAACTATTAATTTTCTATTTGAAGACACTGTTTTGAGTTTGAGCTTATAGACTTGATAAATATTGACTGCAGGATGAAGAAGTTCTAGAAGAGGCTTATGCTTCTAGCAGTAGTAAAGAAGTTCCAAATTATTCAGGTCCAAGGAAGAGTAAAAGATCAAAAAGGAAGCGTGCAGTATAAAGTGGTAAACCAATTCTTTAGCTGTCAGTTTAACTTGTATATTTGACAAATCTGTATCTTAGTCAGTTGTATAGTGTCCATTTTCATGCCGGTCATCTATTTAAGGGCTATTTGCCAAAAGATGAGAACATGACAAGTATGCAAATGGTGAATTCATGTGCTTTCAAGTTTAAGCACCAGCTTAGCAAGCAAAAGCTAAATCTACCATATTCCCTTCATGCGTAGCATGTGGGCTTTCTTGTATCAATTCTCCTGCAAACAAAAACCATAGCTTCAGCCGACAATAAGTGTGTTAGATGAGAGGTTTATCAAAGCCTGCAGTATGATGATAACACGATAGAATCTTAAGCACTGGGCCAAAGGTTTCCTCTATTCCTCATTGGTTACCATAATCTTCACCCTGGACTCTGCATCAATGATGCGTGCATATGGAAGTTGTTTTCTTTGCTTACAAGGTTAGTCTGCTTTCATAGTAGCTTGGGTTTGAGTTAGTTTTCATAAATGAGCTTTGGTTTGAGTACCAGCTTATACAAAATTCTTTCATTTTGTTGACATTTGAAAGTGCCCTGTAGAATTAATAACTTTTTCAAAAATTTACTGAATTAGATTTGATAATTACGAATTGAAAATATTAGTTAGCAGTGAGCACATCAGAAATGGAGCAGCAAGCACTTTAGACTAGATGAGCATAACTCTTCCGATCACTTAGTTGGTGAAGGATAATAAATTCCAATCCAAAGATATCCCAGTGTTTGTACAAATACAATGGCCTAAATATAAAATCTTCTAACTACTTATTACATATATTCTAGCCTCCAACTCTAAATAAATTTTATGTTCTCGTACTGCTAGATCGTTCTTCTGGTCATGGCCTTGATGGTGCGGGATGATTGCTAGTTGGGTTTGGCCCAGTGGTGGTGTATGGACTTGTGTGTTGCCCTGCTTCACAACGGTTTGATTAGAGACTACACGCATAAACTATAGCAGAAGAGAGACAACATACTTTAGTTGGCAATTTAGCTTGTATATTTGATAAATCTGTATCTTAGTCTGTGTATAGTGGCCATTTTCATGCCGGTCAGCTATTTAAGGACTGTTTGCTAACTGAAGAAAGCCTGATGAGTTGGCAAATTTTTTTGGATTTATTCAGGCTCTTTCAAGTGTAACCACGAGCTTAGCTAAGAAAAGCTGAATTATACCATATTCTTTAATGTGTAGCATGGGGCTTTGTTGTCGCAATTATCGTACAAATATTAACCACGACCTGAGCGAGCACTAGTGTGTTCTGATGAGAGGATGCATCAAAGTTTGCAGTAAGGCGGTGGCACCACATAATTTTAAGCAGCTGGCCCAAGGTTTCCAATATTTTCCTCATTAGTCATTACCATAATGTTCATCCGTACCTCTGCTTTACTGATGCTAGCACGCGACTTGTTCTTTTGTGACCTACAAGATTAGTTTGCTTTCCTGGGAGCTTGGGCTTGAGTTAGTCATCAATAAATGAGCTTCGATTTCACTACCTGCTTACTCAAAACTGTCTTGATCTTGTTAGATTTGAGAATGACCTCTGGGATTTTTACTTCTTAAGTTGTTGTTAAACTAGATTTTGATAGTTGTAAATTGATAAGGTTATTTGCAGTCGAGCATGTTAGGAGTGAAGTAGTAAGGTCTTTAGATTAGATAAACACCACTCTTCTGGACCATTTAGTAAATAAAGGAGAATGTAATTCCAATCTCAAAGGATATCCCACTGTTTGTGCAAATATAATAGCCTAAAATTGAAATCGTCTAAGTACTGCATATATGTCTAACCTCCAATTATACGGCTAGCTCATTCTTCTGTTCATGGCTTGATGGTAGACGATGATTTCCTGTTGGGTTTGGCCCTTGATGGTGGACGATGATTTCCAGTTGGGTTTGGCCCAGATGGCGGTTTATAAATCTTCGCATACTTGCCCTGCTTCAGAATAGTTTGATATAGAGAATACATGTACAAAACACTGGGAAATAGAGACAACATATTACGAGACTTACCAAATTAGCAAGAATGTGTCTTCTTGTTGATCTCAAGGTGTAGAACAGTGAGCTTTTATTGGACGTAACTGCGATAAAGAAGCTAGAGTTTAGATCCATTGATATACTTGTTTACTAAAATTATGTAACTGCTTTGTGTAGGAAATCCTGGACTCAAAATAGATAAAACACAATTTGCTTCAGCTATTATATCATGAAAGAAGAGAATAGTGCATGATTCATTCATTAGTCTCATGATTAGTGAAGTGTAATAACTTACCTGCTTTTATAGCTTGAGCTGTGGGGATGAAGTTATAATCATGTTGACATGCTGCCCATATTGTCCATATGAGGAGAAGATAGAGAAGGAGCTCTGTTCTCTTCATCTTCAGCATTGGAAAGTTGAAGGTGTGGGTGCAGTACAAGATAAACTTATAAGTGGGGAAATCATTTCCAATATAGGGGGAGATTTTAAGTAGCATATTATTGGTAATCATTACTAATCTTGAAAACAAGGAATGTTAGATAAAGTTGCTGGGGTATCCTATGCCATTTTATGCAACAAGTGATAAGATCAGGAATCTGGCTCTCTTCATTGTGAATTGACTTCTTGCTCAGTTATCATTGTGTCCATGGTGAAATACAAGTCATCGCATTATTCTTCCTTTTGAGTGCTCAACCATGTTGTTTGGCTTGTCTGCCTTCCCCCACACCTTCCCACCAGAAACGCGAATTGCCTTTTTGTTTTTATTTAGATAGTACTCATTTGTTACTGTTGCATCTTCAATTTAAGCTCCTGTTGCTGGTGCTGGAGGAGTTATCTCGTGCATTGGTACCCTTCGGTCATTTGTCAAGCTGCTTTCTTTTCTACCCTTTTGATGAGTACTTTGGTTTCGGCTGCCCCCCCAAAAAAAAATAACTGCTTCATTTTCTACTAACTCTCTAAGTGACGCGAAAAGGAAATATGTATTTAGGACGGCTCTTCCTGGAAGTTTTGGTCGTATAGAAGACCATAGACTTTCCCTCCACCCCCTCTTTCCCACTAGCAACCCTCTGCCATAGGCCAAAGCTTAGAAAGAACATGAGTATGTGAAGTTAAGAAAGATATTTCAAATTATAGCAGCCTTTGAAATGCTGACTCAAATCAGACCCTAAGGGATTCCTCCTTAGGATGCGTGAGAGGCTGAGAAAACTTTTCGTAAGCGCTACTTCCAGATACGAATTTTTCCTGAGGAAGTACAGACGAATTGATTATATTTGTGGCGTTAGGACTTAGGAGTGAACTTTTCGAAGTGCTCGGTTTTTGTTACAATTTCAACTGCAAAGACTACATATTTATTGATGAAATTTGATGTGCTAATTCAAACTTTCGCGTCAAGCGACAGGCTTAGTTCAGTTTTTTTTTTTTCTTTTCCCCTAAACTTAGATCAGGGGTTCGTGGATGACTGTCAATTAGAGGTGTCAAACGTGACCCGGCCTAGATCGGTTGAAACCCGGACCGGCCCTGCCCGGCACTTAGGGGGCCGGGTTACTGGGGTTAGGGGGGTTGGTCTGTTCACTTTGATTCATCCGGTTAATCGGACCGGTCAAACCCGGTCAACCAAAATCCCCGTAGAACCGGTTAATCGGCCCGGACCGGTTTAAAGGCTAGATTTCAATTTTTTTTTTAAAGGTTTTAGAATCTAAGGCAATGCAAAACCTTTGAATTTACTCTTCTTTTCGTTAATTTACTTGTTAAATGTAAACCTTTCAATTTGTAAGTTTGAATTTTGAAATAAATGTAGCACTTGCAATTTATAAGTGCAATTTTATTTTCATCTTCATTGTATTCTTTATATTTTTACTTTATAATAATATAAATTACAATAATTATACAAAATACAAAAAAAAAATTAAAAAAAAAACACTAACCCGGCCCGGCTCCTTGGACCCGTAACCCTTACGGTTTATTTTTTACCCGGATGAACCCGAACCCGTTAAGCCCGGTAACCCCTAACCCGTAACCGGCCCAGTTTGAAACCCAAACGGTTTCAACTTTTCCCTACCCAGCCCGGCCCGACCCACCCGTTAGACACCCTTACTGTCAATGTTGGGTTAGTCACCATGCCACATTATCAACCAAAGTTCCAATTGGGCCCGGGTCCAAGTTTTGAAACGTTGCAAGCCCAAAGGCAATGAAGGTAGTAGAAATGACATCAAGTGGGTAAAAATTGCACGGGGCGCCCTATTTGGTCGCCCCCATTTAACCTATACACATTTATTTTTAAAAGTTTTAACTTGTACCCACTTTTTAAACAACTTCAACCCCCTTTCTCCTCCTCCTTCTCCTCCTTCGTTTTCTTCTTCTTCTTCTTCTTCTTTCTTCTGCTGCTGTTGGTGCTGCTATGAAACTTCAGTTCATGGGATGATTGCCATAAGTATGTTTATCAGATTATTTAAAAATAAATTATAAATAATTACGTACGTTAGTAAACAATAATTTGTGAATATTTCCACGTACGGGAAGTTTAAGGTCACACTTAGTGATTCTTTTCATGATAATTCTGTTCTTTTCACGTTTATTATTTTCAAAATTTATTTAGATACTGTTGGCAATCTGATTATTTTATAGTAGTAATACACTATGAAAGAATAAGGTGATTATTTATCTAGTATGTTAGAAAGCTTTTCCAAAAACTTCAGCTTATATAGTGCTGAAGTTTTTACAAATGAACTAAATAACTTCAGCATCTTCTGCTGAAGTTTTTGAAAAAGCTTTATGACAAAATTAATGAATCCAGGACAAAAAAGCTTCAGCTTATTTCGTGCTGAAGTTTTTACAAATGAACTAAATAACTTCAGCATCTTCTGCTGAAGTTTTTGTTTTTGAAAAAGCTTTATGACAAAACTAATGAATCCAGGACAAAAAAACTTCAGCTTATTTAGTGCTGAAGTTTTTACAAATGAACTAAATAACTTCACCATCTTCTGTTGAAATTTTTGAAAAAGCTTATCCAGGATAAAAAAACTTCACGTATTTAGTGCTGAAGTTTTTACAAATGAACTAAATAACTTCAGCATCACAAAACTCAGCTACTAGAATGCTTAAGTTCAGCAATTACAAATAAAAACATCAGCAAATAGAGAACAAAAATTCAGCACTAGAATGCTTCAGCAATTACAAACAAAAAACTTCAGCACACTTGGTTCAGTAATTTTTGCTACTTCAGGCCCGTCTACTAGAATGCTGAAGTTTTGCGTGATTGCCTTTGCTATTTCAGCCCCGTATGCTGAAGTTACGCGAGCTTGCAATTCTTTTTGCAAAGCGGGCACAAGTTAAAACGTGACCCAAAAAGCAGATATAGATGCAAATGCCGCATCAAGTGGTCACTTTAAAGGGCTGTTATTTAGGAATTAGCTAGTGAGTCCTGAATTTCATTTTTTCAGTACAAAAATATCTTGAGTTGTCCTGAAGTTAAGATTTTTAGTTTAACAAATACCGATTAATCTCTAAGGCATCCCTAAGAATGGCTATCGGTGCATTTGCCCTGACAATAGAAATGACACTAACTTGGGTGCTTAAGCAAAGTGGGGTTTAACACATTGGGCCTCTCGGTCCAAAAATATTTATATCCCCTAACCAATATTGAATAACATATACATTTGCTAGTTATTTCTTAAGGCGAAAAAAAAAACTGATCGGTCGGTTGAAAATTAATTGCATTTGCTAGTTGAAAGTATATAAAATATGTATATTTTTTTTGTATAAATACACATGTATATAAAAAAAATTATACTTTCGGCTATTATTTTTGGGCGTAGCTAAAAATATACATTTCTCTATTTTTTTGGACGCACAACTATTTAAGTGAATCTCTTTTATTCGCTCCGCTTTAAAAAGAATGAACCTATTTCTTTTTTAGTTAGTTTCAAAACGAATAACCCCTTTCTAAATTTGAAAATATAAGCTTCCCATTTTACCCTTAATGAGTTGATTTATAGTCACACTAGTATATGTGGATTGTTTAGACCAATGTTCAAAAGTTTTCTCTTTTTACTTAAACTCTGAGCTCAGTCAAATAGGTTCAAAACAAATTGAAATGGAGGGAGTATTAAGTATATACTCTACTTATTCATGTACACAGTGTTTGACTGGTTCTATAAGTATAAGATGATAATTTGATTTATGAATTATTTTAGTAAATTAAATGTAAGATGATAATTTAATTTATGAATTATATTTGTGTTAATATAAGAAATATTTGAAAAGTTAGAATACTATTATTAATGGTCTAGTGTGTTGAAAATTTTAGATCATTCTACAAAAGAGAGTCACATAAATTAAATGATCGGAAAAAGGTCAAATAAGCCTTTGTACTATGAGAAAGGGTTTAAATATATCCTTCGTTATATTTTGGGTCCAAATATATCGTTGCCGTAATATTATTGGTTCAAATATACCCTTATTCCGTTAAGTTTGTCCAAGGTGGACATTCAATCATACGCGTCACTTACATTTGATGAGGTGGATGCCACGTGACATGCCACCTCAGCACTCCTAACCCATTTTGTACAATGGATTAGAGGCAATGACGGTGGAGGGGAAGAAAATTTTAACAGTGGACAAAAAAAATAGAAGGGAGGGGTAAAGTGGGTTAGAGGTGTTGAGGTGGCATGCCACGTAACATCCACCTCATCAAATGTCAGTGTCACGTTGGATTGGATTTACATTTTGGACAAATTTAACGAAAGAAGAGTATATTCGAACAATAGTATAACGACAAGAATATATTTGGACTCAAAGTATAACGAATGATATATTTAACCTTTTTCATAAGAGGGATATATTTGGACCTTTTCCGTTAAATGATTAACCAGTCGGTGTTTGCTATGCACTGATCCTACTAGTCAGATCCATACAGAATAGAGACCATTAAAAGGGGATCGCTCCTACATGAATTTCTTTATACTTAGGGTTGGGGCCTATCCTCTATCGTGAAAGATGGAGGGATCCCATCGTCCCACCAAACTTTCTGTCCGTACATCTATTGCCTTTGTTAGTTAGAAAAGATAAGTTTGATTTACGGGCAGAAAAAATTATAATATCATTATAGCAGTAAAATTTAAGATTTATCCTTACTTTACCTAACGCGACATGTGAGGGGTCCATTTATTGGAATATGCGTGTCACGACCCAAACCCCGATCCGATCGTGATGGCGCATCTCGTGAAGACAAGGCCAGTCAACCAACCCATTTCGCCCTTCTCAGAATAGTTAAATGTTAATAAACAGTTCTAGCATAATTAGATAATCACAGTCTAAACAAGGATTTCTTTATTAAGTGCGGAATACAACCCAAACACAGCCCAAACCGGGGTGTCACAAGTCACGAGCATCTATCAGAATGTAAATCCACTACAAGGTCTCTAAAAATACAAGACCGGAATAACGAACAAAAGAGAGAAAAATGGTGCTGCGAACGCTGGCAGTCACCTTCTTAACTCATATAACTCTGCCTCTGCTCAGCCAA